TGCAGATTTCTCTTTTGTGTCTGCCGCTGGTTCAAAATGCATCGGAAATCTTTCAATTTGCTCTAAACCATCATCAACTCAGGCTTACAATGGATAATCTTCATACACTGTCACATGGAATGAGGCCGTATTAAACTGAACATATTAAACATTACATTTATATAGTTAAAGGCATATACTGTATGCACGAAAACTAAAATTAACATGCACTTCACTTTAGTAATGCAAACTTTAAAAGGCAAATTGAAGCTGAACGGTAGAAAAATGTGGCAAAAAATAGACCTAGAAAGGGCCAAACAGCCATCATTCTCAGTTAGCAGCATCTGTCTCAAACAAGCAGAAAGAGGGAGTGAGAGAGCAGAGGCATACACCCAGTAGCTTATCCACATGCAGAGACTGCAGCAGTGACTTCTCAAAGGCCCTCATGATGACTCAGCACTAATGTCACCATAGCTGCACAGCTATGTGTCTGTGCATCTTGTCCTAAGATGAAAGTACACCTCTTGCATCTAGATATGGGTACACAGATCTGTACACAGGCTACATTGAAAGTGTGCAAACACATTCAGAAATCACTTTTATATATAGTACTTTCATACAGCTTTGCAGATTAAAGTTGCAATCTGTCATAATGGAAATTCTGATCAATTCATCTGAGTTTGTTTTCATGCGATTCCCAGCTGGCAATAATCCCACCACCATCCTCTTTGGACAGACCAGAAAAAAATTTAGGTCAGCACACGTATTAAGCCTCAAGTCTCTTTCGGGGGCTGACTGGATAACCATGTTTGCATGCGGCTTTTGTGGCTGCCAGAAATCACATTCATAGTAATGTTAGAATTCAGCAACAGGGCACTCGAGTAATGCTGCTTTAATCTTGAGTTTGCTGGGTTACTTATGCACGGGCATTTGGATCACAAGTGATGTAAATGACAGAATAAAGACACACGAGGCTGAATAAGGAATAATCTGAATCTTGCAGCCAAATCCATTTGGTGAAGGACTTTTCAGCATCTGAAAGGAGGCGTTACACTCGTCACATCTTTTACAATCTGTTAAATCCCAGCAGACAAGGGGAAAAGAGAGAAAGTGTAGGGGAGGGACACAATCCTGCGATGTGAGCAAACACATTTGAAGTTACCTTGGTTATACTGACTCCTACAGCTACTTCCATTTCTTTCACACTATGCAACAAATACACTGAACACTACAGTGCAGGCCGTTTGCGGCACTAATCTGGCTGACTGTTAAGTTCATATTCAAAGGGTATGCAGGATGTGGCTCTATAGTAATACACGTTTAATTTAACAATAATTCAGAATTAATGTTTTAAGAGGATAGATGTTCCAGCGCATATATACAGCAGTTTGGGCCAATAAGGGAGTAGCCCTGTCTAATACTTTCCCAAGCAGATGCCATAATGGATCCGCTGCACTCTGCGCCCTTGACGCATCCAGTATGAGACACTTTCACCTTGAGTCTCCTCCCTGCATCCACTGATGCACTTTTTTAAAAAGCATGTGCTGCAGTCGATTCACTCTGAACTAAACCTGCAGAGTGAAATGCAAAGCCAGACAGCGCTGACTTTGTCGCAGTCTTCAGTCTTTTAAAGTAACTGCGCAGTTCCTTACATCACTTCACCCCTATGACGACTGAGCGGCACCGGTAATTCACTGCTCTGCATTGCGGTACTCCAGAGCCGGTCCATTTCCACACTCCAGCTCTCAAAGCATCCCCGGTTTATTCTCACATCTCCGGACACGAAGACACAATTGTGTCATGCACTCGCTCGTCTGCGGTGTCGTTCTTACCTTTTGAGGCGGAATGAGAAATTTCAGCGCACTGTCTTCATGGCACACCTGGACCCGAACCGCAACGTGCCACAGAGCCCACCCCGCCGGAGCGTCCCGTTCAGATGAACTTTTCTATTGGATGAGAGAGGCTGAGTGGCAGGTCATGGTTAGCGGGGAGGAGGCGGCTGCGATTGGCTTTCGAGAGAGGGAGGATGAGGATGGGAGGGATGCGAGCATGCTTGTGCGCATCCCAGACGAGGGAAATAAAGTCACAGGGGGGAAAAAAGATAATTGGTTAAGTCATAATAAGTATTAAAAATAAATCAATAAAATTAAAGGAGGAAATATATTAAGGCGAGTTACTGAATTGCTGTCATCTGATTGAAAATAAAGTACAAGGGCAGGCTATAACTTGGCACTCCAACGCACTAAAGATTTCGCAGGAATTTGGAAATTTATTAGAATACAAAGGGATTTGGGAAATTTGAAAAAAGACATAAAGGAAAGCTTCCTATAGCTGATGCGGCCATGTGCTGTGCATCTTAAATGACCTGCAGATTAATTATTAATGGTGGATTGCAGACCAGGCGAGGTACAAGGATTCCTTACAATACAATAAAATAAGTTGCGGTTCCATGGTGGGGGCAAGATTTTATTTTATTTTATTTTTTTGCGGGGGGGGGTGTCATCCTAAACTTAGTAAACATAATTAATCCTACAGTTTTAGTTTTTTTTTTTTTTTTTACCTATCCTACAAGTTTTGTACTTTTTAAAAGTAAAAGTACAAAACTATTAAAGTAAACTACTTAAAGTATCTCAAGTAAGTTCTTACTCTATGACTAGCTAATTTTACAATGAAAAGAAGTGATTTAGTTACACATTTTTATTGATAATCTGTCTTTAATACAAATGTAGAAGTAGAAAGGAGCACACCAGAAAAACTGAAGTATATCAGATGTTTGTATCAGTACTGCAGTTACTGCACTTTTACACACTGAGGGTCCTTCAGACAGTCCTCTTCACAGGATTTACAGGATGAGACTTATGGGAGAAAATGATTTGATCCACAGTGTGATTAAAGAATAGCTAACACATTAGCCTAAAAATAAATATGTTGTCTAGTCCACTGCATGCACTTACAGTGTTTAACAAATTTATCAGACCACCTGTCTTAAAAGCAAGAATACACAAAGATTTTTGATTACAAGTGTACAAGTGAATAACTGTAGTTTGGCATCATAATCAAACAATAATATAGTGTTTTACATTTTTTTTATTTTTTTGCTTTTTAAAAAAAATAAAATAAAAGAGCACATCTGAAAAGCCATGGGTGATGACAATAATTATATTTTAGCATTAAAAATATAATTCAGATTAAAGCGCTTGCACATACTGGTGAATCAAAAATTATTCTGGTGATTAATAATACTGTCAATTTAGGCTGTGGGATAAACCTTACACTGGATGAAGGTCTAATAACATTGTTAATGTGTGTTGTCATCATTTGTATACATTTTTTCAAATTTGGATTTCCAGTCTTTTTTGCCTTAATACTGTGTATGCCTATATGCTGGGTTTTGAATTTTGTAGTTATCTTCTCTGATAGCTGTTATATTTACACGGATTTCCTTTTCAATGGAAACCAGTGTTACAGTGGAATTTGAATAAAGCACACACACACCACACATGCGGTGCCCCAGATATATGTTAATCTTGTGAGGATTAACTTTCAGTTGTTAATCTCTGCAGGTCATTAGCTGGAGAAAAGACAAATCATGCACTAGATGGCGCCACACACACGCACATACACACTTTATGTTTTACCCCATGTACAAAGTCAAAGAAAAACATACCAGTTGTGGAATCCTGAAACCAACATTTATTTCATTTTTTTTAAACTTCATTTAAAATACAAAATATTTTGCAATATTATATCGTAGAGTAAACCATTTTGACAGCCATTCATGCTTCTCATGTAGCGTTAACATTAACCAGAATGTCATATCATATACTGTGTATCCTACTGTATGTTAACCAGTAACTAGAACATCGTTTCTGGTGTATTCACACTCCAATTTGCCAGTTCGGTTATAAATCCATGCTGACCATATTTCCATATGCTCCCAATTAATATTAATTGTGGGGTTTTTTGTCTTCTTTTTGGATGCACACGCTTTAAAAGGATATCATTTTTAACTGATGTCTAGTTTAGGACAATAGTTCTTGTGCAAGCTACATCCACCCACACGGTGTTGTCCCAAAATAGATGCATGTGTTTATTTTAAATGATATAGCCTATTTAACTGTGTGCCTTTTTTTTTTTTTTTATTTGTAAAAAATACAGAAAATGTGCATGAACTGTCTAAAACAGAAACAATACAGGTGTCACAAGAGCTCAGTCACAAGTTAAATAATCTCCTTTGATACCTGATCGGCTAAACATTTGCAAAGTCACCTGACGGGTTAAAATATAAAATAACTTCACACCAAATGAAAAAGAATGATAACTGTAAATAGTCCCATCTCACACTGAACTGACTGAGGTCTAGCTCTCACCTTCGACCTCAACGTGCTCAATTCAAAGTATTATTTACAAAAATGCAACAGAAATATCTACACGTGGAAAGCTGACACGTTGCAACCTAAAAACTTGATGCAAGTTATGATAAACCCAACACATGGAAATGTTCTCTGAAAAAGAAAAGGAAAGGAAAGAAAGTTTTGCATGTCCTGTTGAGAGTGGGAGCAGACTGCTTGACACACATTGGAATTATAGACTGGTACCAATGGAAACAGAAAGCAACGGCATACATTGGGCACGCTGCAACGCGGTAGCATGCATGTGGTGCACACGCTCACTCTCGTGCACCCGGACATTCACACTTAAGCTTCATTCATTTTACAGTAATATAAAACTCACTGCGCTCAGACTGAGACGACATACAGCATAAGGGTTGAATGCATAAACCGAAGTCACCAGTGTGTTTTACCATTTGGAGTGAAACAAGCAATATTTTCACATGAACAGATACACCTGTTTTCACATTCAGTATCATTTTTATGACCGCGTCGTTTCTAAGCGCTACCAGCAAATGTAAGTCTATTCCAGATGTTGAGTCCGGTTCCCACTGGCGGTTACCTGGTGAGAAGGTTGGCAGTTGTTTAGTGCTCCCAACAGGTTGGGAGAAGTTTGAAATGGACACATGACACATTTTTCCCATTTTATTATCGAGTGTTCATAGCTGGATGGTATGATTATATGATGCGTATACACTGTGAGCTGATGGTAGCTGGATAATATGATTGTCAACAAGGGCATAGCAATCTATAGGTGGAAGCGATCCCTCACAACAAACGCCACTGTGTAACATCAAAATTGTTCAAATCAAGTCACGTTTATAGCACTGTGTAGGAACCCTGGACTCCAAAATGAAAGAGGCTATTTTTCTAAATAACTAGCCCACATACAATATTTAGTGGCATTACAGCTGATAAAATGGTCTTAGTTTTAATGTTCCCCTATGAACAACTTTATTATCAGCGAAATCCTGAAGCGCATTTTTTTGCGGTGTTGAACACTCGCGTAGCTTTTAAAGCTGTTATTAAGGTAAGGTCGGGTGGTATTCTGAATGCATCGCAGCTGTAGACTTCTTGAACTGCTCTGAGCTCTGGTCTGTCTCATGTATGAAGGAAGGATGTAACTATGAATCAGGTTGCCGTTCACTACAAAGGCACTAGAAACCGTGCTGAGAGCTTCTCAATCATTAACATCCAAACATCCAGACACCGCTGCACCATCTCTCAGTGAACCTTTCTCTAAATGCGACATATTTGCAGCACAGTACGCACAGCACATATGCAAGAAGGAATGCTATTGGAAGCAGTGCTGGGGTAGCGGTTAGCTCTGTCCACGTAAAACAGAGGCCTGCGCAGGGGCCACAACTCGAGGTGGAAGCACCTGGCAATGACACTGGATCAATCACCACTTAAGAGATCAGTGAGAAGAAGCGCAGGCTTGGGAAAAACACAAAAGACTGCAAAAAAGAAAAGAATGGGAGGCCGACTGCAGTTAAGTGTGGGAGGTCTGGCTAGCTGGCTGGTGTGATAAGTGGCTGAAAGCTGAGCTTATCTAATGTCTAGCCAGGTTTTTAATGACCGCAAATAGACATACCTGTCCTTAAAATATAGCTTTCTTCTTCTTCTACCACATATGTACAAAAAAGGTCAAAAACCTATGCTAGCTTCTACTTGGAGTCACACATTTCACAGCAGTCTCTGCAAAGACACTGCTGTCTTTTTTTCCCTCTATATATCATACGTGATTTGACACTTTCTGACTGATAAAAAAAAAAAGAAACAATAAAAGACATACCCAGCTGCTTGTAGGCGTGCATGGTATACAGTTTCAACACGCAGCTTACCTCTGCAACAACTGACACGAGTGTGGTAAAACGCTTATTAGGATCACAATTTACTCCATGCACATGTTTATGAATGGGATTGGATGCATTTTTTTTTGCCTGCCTTCTGGTTATGTACTGTAGCTTGATAAAATATATCTTTTTTGATATTTCATATCTTGTATATTTTGCAAAGGATATCAAATGGCACTAACACACTTAAAAGATTCGTGCTCAGTCTGAGTGGTAAAAACCCCTTCGGGTACATTCCTTTTGCTTTTCTGTATTGTTTGCTCTCTCCTTCCCTCATTTCACACCTTCTTTCAATGGTTATGGGTGATGTGGAGCCGGTCTTTGCCATGTTGAGTGCGTCTTGATGAGTGGAGGTCACAGTGTGACCGGGGCTGGCAGGTGTGGGGATGAGGTCGTGTCAGCAGTCTTGGTGACAGTTAGCCATGGCCACCGGAGTGAGAACCACCAAGGGGTTAAGGTAGGTGTCCACAACAACTGTCACCTTAGCAGCTGTCACCACAGAGATGGTCACATTTGCCAGGGTGACAAGGGAGTGGCTGAAGCAAGCGTTGCAGCCAGGCCGTGGCCCTTTGTTAGACAAATGAATTCATGGCGTTGACAGGCGACGGGGCCTCCGAGCTCTCGTTGCCTTCATGCGTGTCTTTTTCTTTCTTGCCGCTGTACTGGCCGATGAAGGAGCCGTCCTCGTTGAACTGCCCGTCCCCACCTTCACCGTAATCCACCAGACTGTCGTCGCTCTCGTCACGCCGCACCGTCCCGTTGGACGGCGTCCGGCTACCCTTCAGCGGCTTGTGGTCCTCAGTGTCACTGTAAGGAGTAGGAAGATGGCTGAGAAAGAACTCGTGCAGCTTGCAGAACGTCTTCTGCACTTCTCATAACCTTTTAGAAAGAAAACAGGCTCTTCAAGCACATAAGCAGTCTGGCTTTTCCACTGCACAAGCATAGCTTACCACAGTGACAATATCACTGCAACTTTATGCCATCTTTGGTACACATTTTGATGAAGCTCACTTCAAGTGTGCAAATACATCCACAAGTGATTACTTTTTTAAACTCAAAACTTAAAATGAGCAAAATCATGGGGTAAGTGATACATTACACGTTGTGGTACTGTTATTGTACAGTGGAGCAGCTCAGTTAAATATCATTTAGGGTGTTAGTGCTGTGGTGGTTCAAGTCCGGGTGCAGCGCTGCAAGAGGAGTTTGCAAATACGTGCCGTTCAGTCCTTTGCAATGTACCTGCATCCGAATGCAATTTCTGAAACCTTTTCAGTCAATATGCTTTCGCTTTACATGCAGGAATCCAAAATGCAAACAGCATCATTTAAACCATTTTGTCACGCTCCACCTGTATTAACACACTGAGTTTTATTCAATACTATGGCAGCTACAGTGAGGATCATACAAGTACTTTAGCACTTAATGGAGATATTAAAGACTTTATCATTATTAAAACAATAAAATGAAGGGAGCTAGAAGCAGTTAAAGCAGTAATATTAAATGGTAAATCTGGAGTGTTAATGCTGGTACTATAATGAGCATCATGACACAGTAGTCTCTGCCTTCATTTTCTCTTTAATCAGAAACTCAAGGAGGTTTTATAGGTTGCTTGAATTGCATGCTGCTTTTATCGCATCTTGTCTTACCTCTCCATCGACCTAAACCCCTCCCCCCGAAAAACAAAACAGAAAGATAAAAGTGGAAGGACACATGAAAAGCAATTCATGAGCCACGGTGAGTGTCTATTTTTTGTGAGCTTTTTTTGGAAACAGACAGCGCTTTCAGCTCTGCTAGTCGAAGCATGCAAGATCTCATTTGTTTTAAGAGCAGTTAGTATATAATTTAAGAGGTCAGAGATGAAACAACTTGTTAAAATTTACATATTGTATAATATGAAAAAGCTTTTTTTATATGAGATGGGCAATGTGCAGGTGAGTTGGTAAATGTAAGAGTCAAAGCAGAGTAGTTTGGATTTCGCCTTGCCTCTGTGGAGTGTTTGGTAATCGAGTCTGGAGGGGGGAGTGTTTCTGCAGCCTGGTAAAATGTTCTACATATACAAACAGCCCAGTCAGGACACAATGGACCAACACAAAGAGAACGCTCATACACTGCTCTGGTCCTATTTTAACCATGCTTCTCTGACTGAAGAACGTCTCTCACCTGTACTCTCCAAATGTCCCATCATCCTCCTTCATGGGTTGGATCTCTGGGTCTTGGTGAGCGTCTTCTTTTTCTTTCACTGTCAGTTTCAACAGCAATTAATTTAAATTTCTGCGCATTCCCGACTACAGGCTTGGACTCATAATGCACACAGATAATGTGTGGTTTACCTGGATATTTGCCACCCTTGTTTCTCTTGATGAAACACACTATTAGAAGCACCAAGATGAGGAGAGCGATGGCACACATCAGTCCAATAAACCAGCCCTGGGTAGCGATGTCTACCTGCCGGCTGGCTACAGCTGGAGAAAGAAAGAAAGAGGAAAGAAAGAAAGAAAAACGGGTGGGGAGAAGTTCACAGAAATAAAATAAACATTAAGTGTCAGCTCAAAATGTACTTCTAGGCTCCTATAACAGTGAAACTGTCCTCTTCATGCTGAGCAACACTGAGATTAACAGAAGCTGTAAACACAGGATGGAACTGTGAAATGGGTTAATATGACGATTTATATGGAGGACCAAAATAGCCAAAATTTAAAAAAAAAATTGGGGAATAAATAAATGACTTTAAATAAATTATTATGACGCTTATGGTGATGTTCAATAAGGAAGATCTGTGATCACTACTGCTGTCAGTGCTCAAACTGCTAGCCTATTCTTTATATCACTTCCACTTTCCTACGGTGTCAAACTGACAACGCTGACATCATTACTCTAGTCCAATCATTTTCTTTCCCCACCCCACAGAACAGAGCCAATTGGCCTCTATTTTGCATACTTCAAATCTCAGCACTCTTCTTTCAATCTGCTTTCGTGCAATCCGTCTCATCCAAGCCTTCATCTTCATCTTCACCACCACCAGCATTTACACTACGGTGGGTCTTGTCCTAAGTCTTATCACCGCTGAGATTCTGTCCTGCTATGACAGGTTATCAGAGTCTAATCACCAAGTAGCTTAATTGAATTCTGTATCTCAGTAAATCACATTCAGTTCTTCCAAATGATCTCTCCTTATCAAAATTGTCTTTAATGCATGAAAAAGAATGCAAAACACAAATACACACAATATTAATGCATTGATACATGCTCTTGCAACAATATTGTTTGTTCTGTGATGTTTTTTTTCTGTTGCTGGGTGGTTGTCAGACAGCGTGACCATATAATCCACAAGCAGAGACCTTGTGGATCACAGTAAGATGTGTTTACTTCTGTATGTATTTACTTTTCTATAAATTTTCTGCTTCTATCTACTTTCAGTTGTATTAATTTCATATATACTTACCTTTACATTTTCCTATTTATTTAGCCAGACTAAATTATTTCTGTTTTTCGATTTTTTTTTCGACATTGTTGTTTTAGTATTGAAACTAGGTTGCTGTCGTTGTGTGCAAAGTGTGCACCTTAGAGGTCTAATTTTTTAGGTTGGTGAAGATTACTGGAAAAATGAGGTGTTCAGTTAAACTGGATAGTCACTCATTTGCAAGATGAAGAAGCTAAAAGTGCCTGAAAAAGGGCAAAGAAATATGGGTGTGGGGGGTATTATTTTGTTTTACAGAGTCACGTGTTTCTGTCTTTGTTAATTTTTTTATTTCAGCAGTTCTGATCCTCAATGCATGTAGGCACTAACACAACAAAATTAAAAGAGTTACAAAGGTAATAATGGGCATTGCGGTGACGACTTTAAATGACATGCATTAGACCAGAGGCTACTGATGGCAACTCCTGACATGCTTGTACGCTAACTAACTACCGTACATTCATGTCTGAGTGTAACAAACTAAATCTGATGATGAAGGAAAAAAAAAGATGAAGCAGGCACTGAAAACAAAAACCATCTATGTCGAGGCATGCTGCCTCACCTGGCACCGTAACCAACATTTCGTCTGTGCTGTGGACTGTCAGGTCGGCTGCATCTTTAGCTATCACTTTCACCCTATAGGAAGTTCCCGGCTTTAAACCTTTTATTGTATGTGAGTGTGAACCGTTTGCAAACTCCTTTTTCCACTCCTCTTTACCTGGAATCGAGGCAGTGGAAAGGAATTAGATTCAGGAATCTGATACTGGGATAAATGCTAATTTTGAAAAATCAGATCTAGTCAGTTGTAAGCAAGTCAAGACATGCACTGATGCTTTGAAATACAAGAGAAAGCCTTACTGTTCTCAACAATATACTCCACATATACATTCTTATGGTGTCCAAAGTATTCCCAACTGATCACTGCACTGTCCTCTGATACAGAAGTGTTAACTGTGCCAAAAGCACGACCCACAGGAGGCGCTGGGCACCGAAGAGAGAGAGAAAATGTGTTTTTTGCTAATATAAAACATAAAAAGTACACATTTTTTGAAGACGCCTACATTTTCAACTTACTAAATTACATTAATCTAGAATAAATCCAGTAAAACAAGTAAAATTATATCAATGTTTACATCTATGAACATCTCCAGAACAATTTGCCAGCGTGTATTAAACAGCTGGTGTCTTTGGTAGTTTTTTCCACCACATGTGGTAAAGTGGACCACAGGCAAGCTTTAAAAAAGGCCATTGTTGTTATGTTTTGGCTCAATATATAAAGTGAACATTTATCTTTGGAAACTTAAAGTTAAAAGTCTACAAAGTACTGTAGCTTTAACGTTACAAAATAAAATCAAGAAAAGAATTACAAAATAAGTAACAACGCTGTGCAATTCTAAGCTCCTGTTACATTATTAAAAACAGGTCAGGTTAGCTGCTACAAAAATGTCCATCTCAATAAAACACCAATCAGGTGGTTAATATTACTAGCAATATTTTCTGAGCTTTTTTTTTTAATTACTTTTTTGTGACCTTGTGGCAGTTTTGCCTCTGTACACCACCACAGTGGATATTAAACCAATCAGTGATAAGCTAGTTCATTACCATCACGAAATCACATTTGAGTAAAGTCGCTAAGCTAAAATTACTAAGATGGATCATTTCTGCAGGACTGAGTTCATGGGGAGATAGTGGGGGAGGGAGTAAGGGACACAGGGAGTGCTTGTACCCTTGTGAAACGGGGAATGCAGAGACTGAGTGATGGGGGAAGTTGGGTGAGGGGGCTCTGTGGGGCCTGAAAGAACACGGAAAAGAGTGAGACAAAATACATAAGCATCACAACAAAGAGCATACAGTACTGACACGGAGAGTTAAAACGTGGCAACGCTTCTTAATACTGAAAGCTAAAATGAAGCACCTGATCCAGCTCTGTATCTACACAAAGAAAAATGAGCAACTCTGCAGCAAATAAATTTCTACTTTGTTTATAAAAACAGTCAGTTTATAGCATAAATGTTAGCGCTGGAATTCAAACCATCATGCAAAAGGAATCTGCTCATTTAAAGAAGAGACATACTAAAAGATGAAAGAAAATATCATTTTACAACATAGAAATCCTATATTTCACACTGTGTGACTGTGTAAAACCGACCTATTCTTACAGAACAGGACACAAGCATGGTTTCTCACAATTGTTGGATTACCTTAACATGCAGGGAAAAGTACAATAAACATGACATCTATGCTAGGGCTGTTTTCGTTTCTAATATCTATTAATGTAATTAGCATGCAGATACTTCCAGTGGCAAACTTGGGTTACCTTTGCCTGCCTCTACAGTGGGACGAGTACGAGCTTCAAGGAAGAGAGAAAGAGAAAGAGACAGAACCTCCTCAGGGTTGTCATTTTTACAGAATTCCTGACATCTGTCACTGCACTGTGGCTATGGTTAGGCTGCTTTAAAACGTTTTCTTCCTATTGAGCTTTTATTTGGTTCACCTTAAGTTAAAAACTTAAACTTCAAGTTCTTGGACACAGGACTCACTTGTATGCATGACTGTGAAAGCCTCCTCTGTGATGATGGGGCCTTCGCCCTTGTTTGTCTTTGCGCTTAAGTAAAACTTGTAGAGCATGCTGGAGTTCAGGTTACTCAGAGTAATGGTGGTCTCGTTGGCTAGAAAGGTCATGACCTGGACTGGTCCCAGTTCGCTGGTATTGTTGACTGCAGACACGGCAAGAAACAGCCAACAATTGGAAAATGCGAAGATGGAAGTTGAAAGGAAAAAGCAAAAATGCTGCATAATACTGTGCCGATGCTTAAAGTTGAAGGGGACTGCAAATCCTACCTGGTTGGTATTTCAGAATGTATCCAGTGAGACGTCCATTGTTGTTAATTGGTGGGCCCCATTCCAGAGTGAGAGAGTCCAAACCAGGGTTGATTACACTGAGAAAAGAAGGAGGCCCTGGGACTGAAAACAAAACCAGAATTAACTCTGAGTCTGTTGGCTACATGAGCATTTGTAGGATACAAATATTTTATATTTGAAGGTCATATAATAGTGGCTAAGGAGTACATGAACCTGTATGACTGTTAAGGCTTTAATTGGATGTTGGCTCTGTGTGCCCTTGTATTTGGTAGGCTGTCTTACTAGTACAAACAGTGCTACTAGCAGCAGGTAAAATATATATTTTGTATTAATATGTACATTTAAGATATTGTAGTATAGCAACATTCAAAGTGTGGTGATCCATTTAAAATTTGGAGGAACTTGGCATCCTGTTACAGTACAAGTTTTTTTTAAATTCTTCTTTGGACCGAAAGACATACACACCTCCCTCAGGTGTCTCAAATGTCTTGCTTTGGCTAGAAGGCCCTTCTCCTTTGTTATTAAGGACTCTGATGGAGAGACTATAGACACTGTAAGGCTGGAGGCCTGGCAATCGTCCCTCACTTCGGTTTCCACTGAAAGTCAAAACTTGCATTTCCTGATCAGTCTCCTCTTCTGTCTCATGCAAACCATGCTTTCGCCTGTAGTATACCTGGAGAAAAACACACCAAGAGTTAAATGAATCATTGTGGTGTTGTAACCAGGTTCCCCAACACAAAACAGGAGAATTAAAGTGATGCTCAGTAAAAAAAAAAACAGAGAAAAGCTTTTTGGCTCTCCTTCAAAGCTCAAAGTAACTTTTTTCTTTCTTTTTCCTTACTTCCAATACTACACTCATTCAGACATACGCTCACCAGTCACTTTGTTAGATACACCTTTTCAACTGCTTGTTAATGCAAATATCTAAGCAGCCAATCACATGCCAGCACCTTCGTAGGGTTAGCCATGTAGACATGGTCAAGATGACCTGCTGAAGTTCAAACCTAGCATCAGAATGGATGTTGGTGCCAGATGCTGCTAATCTGCTGGGATCAACTACTTCTTAGAATATACAAAAAATGATTTTAAAGAAATCATATAGCAATAAAAGGAAAACAAGAAAATATCTAGTAAGCGGCAGTTCTCGGGGAAAAAATGCCTGTTGATTCTAGAGGTCAAAGAAGAATAGCCAGACTGTTTTGGTTTTGCTTTGGTGGGAGAGCAACAAGAACTTAAAAATAACCACTTGTTACAACCAAGGTTTGCAGAAGACCATTTCTGAAAGCACAGCAGCAGAAGACCACAATTGGTGCCAGTCCTCTCAGCTAAAACAGAACCCTGAAGCTTGAAATTTGGTGTGAACAACATGAAAGCATGACTCCATCTTGGCTTGTATAAAAGGTTCAGGCTGTTAGAGGTGGTGTAATGTTGTAGGGAAAATGTTCTTGGCATACTTTGAGCTGGTTGTGCAGCTGAAAAATGGGCAGCAGACGAATGTTTCCAGCACCTTGTTGAATCTATGCCACAAAACAATTAAGGTACTTCTCAAGGGAAACTGGGACCCAACTACTCAAGAAGGACTATTTTCATAGTATCTATAGAGTTGGTTGTATTTATAAGTGACATTAATGTCATAAGATTGGGACATCTACTTTGACATCTCTGTGATGGAGGGGGAAATGTGGCATAAGACAATACCTTGTATCCCTGTAGTTTTCCTCTGACAGAGGGCGGTGATATGGGCTCCCAGTGTACTTCTGCCAGTGTGCTGTTATGAACCATGACCTGCACACTCTCTGGAGCAGACAAAGGCACTGCAAAACAGAGAATATGAAATATTAAGTTGAACCAGTTTGAAAACACTGTGGTGATGGATCGTGGTCTTGTAATAGTAAACACAGTAAGGTTTTATAGTATGTCACATAACTAGACTTATTTATGACTTGACCAATACTATAAAACAAAATGACAAGGGTTACAGCGCCTGTTATTGAAACCTTAAACAACAGATGCTCATTCTCAAACTTCCCAGTCTGCTTTATCTTTTTCTATCTTCCATAGTTCTGATCTAATACCGAAAAGAAACGTATTTCCACAGAATTCACTTACAGTCTTCTCCAGAGTATCCAAACGCCACTTCAGGTTCAGGCCCAACACCATAATCGTTGAAAGCTTGAACTTTGATTTCATAGGGCACATATGTAGGAGTTCCAGACACAACCCACTGGGATACATTGGCCACATTCTGTGCTGACCACTCCTTCTCAACATCCTTCTGTCTCCACTGCACTTTATATTCCAGACCGGGCCCATTGGACTGGAGTCCTGTGAGTGGCTACACATAGAGTAATGTTAATTAGTGCTTGCATATTCCATCTATACAATACATTTAGGCTCAAATCAATCTGAAATATAATTAAAACCATCTCACTGTCCAGGAGATGACCAAGTTGCCTGGCTCGGTTCCTACTCCGTGAACACCTGATGGGTTTTCATCAGGAGCTGAGAAAACCAAAGAATCCTGGTTCAGTCTGAACTTATTTTTGTGTTGAGATGATTAACATATTTCTATTTTCAGTGACTTTTACCTGCAGGGTTGGTCCTATATTGACGTGAGGACTGGCTCGGCTCACTATAGCCGACACGATTTTTAGCCAGCGCTCTGAAGGAGTAGTAAACGTATGGAGAGAGGTGCAGCTGTGCTGTGGTGCTAGTACCAGGAACCTCTGTCAGGTTTGTCCAAACTCCTGGCTGGTGGAGAAGATCCTCATACTGGATCAGAAATTCTGGAGAAGATAAAAGATTCAGATGTCACGAATGTTTTTAACAGCAGAAACTTTGTTTTCATTTGTACAGGTCATAATTACTGTAGGTTAAATCATGTCTGCCGATAGTACAGTCTGAGCAAACTGCTCCAGCACTGAGAATTTCATACTCTCTATAGGACTGTTGTTTTCATCTCCTGGGGTCCAGGTGAGCTGGACACTCTTCTCTGTTTGGTCTGTCAGCTCCAGGTCAGTCGGAGGGTCAGGTTTCTCTGTGAATGCAATAAGAAATTTAGTACCTTGCTTCTGTTTCCATATAAAATTTGGCACCAATACAACACCTTTCCACAATTAAAAACATAACAGCAGTAAATGAAATGTACAGCAGGTATTTTGATGGGTAGCTAGTGAGGTTAACACCAACATTTGTTAGCCGGATTACATCATTAACTGTGTTTTTCTTATTTAAAAAACATGAATGTCAGTCAACAGTTTGTATGCACTCACACAGTCCTGAGGAGAGGTCCAAATATTGAAAACGTGGGTGCAAATGTACCGATCATTAACAGTGATGAAAAACTTTTAAAACTCTCACATGCATTCTATGCAAGTATGGTGGGATTTAAAGTTTATGGCAAGTGTTAAGACAAAATTGACCAGAAATAATCAGACCTGAGGGTCAAAAGGTTAATGGGTCAATCACAGTCAAATAGCCGAACGCTGCACATTATTGGCAAAAATTAGGACTGTTATATCCAAATTTTTGTGACAGTTTTTGCAACTTTATCATTTTTTATGACAGGCACTTTTAAAATAATGCATTTTTATATAATTGAGTAAAACATGTCAAAATGTGTCTCATTTATGCAAATATATATGTTGCATATAAGCTCTGTGATGTGTGTATATACAAACTGAAAAAACATTAAACATATATTCAAAAACTAAGTACTAGACCAAATGAAACTGTGTAATATCATAAAAAAGAGGGCATTTCCATTCATATATTAAATAAAAAACAACTTTTAATTAATGATCTTGACCAAAACCTGTGTGATCTTCATCACCAGGACTAGCTTTGTATCATCAACACCAGCTCATCAAAAGTTACTAGCAAAAGCCTGCACTATGGGTGGTTCTGTACACGGGCAACATACGCTGAATACCCAAAAAAAGAAAAAAAAAGAATCAAGAACTGGGATTTTTAATAAATCTTTAAAAAACAAACCAAATAGATGTTAAGCAGCGCTGTATGTGTGACAAAAGTTTTTGCAAAGTTTTGTTCAGACTGGCCCATCCGTTAAGCTATGATTGTTACAGTTTAATTACTTAATTAACTTGAAAATAGTATTATTTTGTACTATTTTGTACAGTTTTAGCAGTTGACTGTGACCAACCTGACAACACTGATGATGATACTACTGCTAGTTAGCGAACAGCACCAGATTTGTTCAGGTGTTGCAGGTAAAACCTCACATTACATACGATGTGTCATCAGAATTTAGTGTTCGTGTGTGTTAAAATGATGTCTTCCATATTGTTAAACGCACTACACTTTGCAAAAGTACATAAAATGCAGTAGCTAGCATGACAGCAGCAGGTGAAACACTGCAAAGGCAACTTTAATTACTTGTGTGTTTGATTTGAGACAGCAGACTGCCAAAATTCAAGTAGTATAAAAGTAATGTACACCATGAAAGGAAGTAGCCAAAGGACACACACAATGAGTTAAGCTAATGGAAGCTACAAATTGCGACAATGTGGACATTGTTTACCGTAGACAATTGCAGGAGTAGGAGTCGCCTCTGACAGCGAAAAGCAGGAGCAAAGTGCAAGAAGAGGGTTAGAAGTTAGGGACAGACATTTAAGAAACAGCAGAAAGATCTCAATGGTAATGTTATTTTAGGAATGTAACTAAAGCTTGAGGACTAAAAACTAATGTTTCAGTGCAATTAAGGAACCAAAAGGGGTTATAATTGGGGGGGGGAAATCAAACAATAGAAGCAGGAAAGCAAAAAAGACTCTGGATCTGTGTTAGAGCTAAATGATAACTACGTTAATAAATTAAGGTGAGAACGTACCGACAACAGTCAGCATGGCACTGGCTGAGTCCTGATCGAGGGTGGTGTTCATGATGCAAGTATAAGTCCCCTTATCATCATCAGTCACGTCTCTGATGGTCAGACTATCGGTGTCCACCTCGAACCTGAAAGTATTAACAAGAAATAACATCAGGTATTTCTACAGAGTCAACAGAATAAGTGCAGTCTCGATGGTTGGGCGTACCTCTCATCATCAGGCAACTCTCCTCTGTCTTTGAGCCAGGTCATGGTGGGGATTAGGGAAGGGTCATGCTTGACTTTACACTCAAAGATAGCGCTCATTCCTCTCTGCACCACCTTGTACTCTGGCTGCTTCAGGATACGAGTGGGCTCTGCAAAATGGATAACCATTATGTCACCGCTGATAACCTAATACCCACTGACAAAGAAGATTTGAACCACCAATGTCACTGTCTGAGTTGTGATTAGACTATACTGACCTTTAACCTCCAGAAAGACATGGTTCTCCTTGATCCCAAGGTTGTTTGTGGCAATGCAGGTGTACTTTCCGCTATTTAGCGGCTGGGCTACATTTATTTCCAGAGTACCATTCTCATGGATTACATATGGGTCAGTATTCTTAATGCTGATCTGACTGTCTTTGAACCTGCATAGAAATGGCAACCAAGGCGGCTCAAGTACAGTACAGTGCATCTTAGCTTTGAAATCTAATAATATTTCAAATGAGCTGACAGTTACCATGTGATGGTTGGAATAGGCGAGCCAAAGGAAGCACAGTGTAGTAATGCAGGGCTGTTGGTGATGACCTGGTACACTTGGTTAGGTGGAGTGAGGACCCTTGGTGGTTCAGCTTTAAAGGAAAAAAAGGAGAAGATGCTTGGTAAAACTCATTAATATGGCCATTTTCCAAATCGTTTCTAACTAAAGATTTGTATGGGGCAGTTCTAATATGAAATAAATATGTTTTAACTCACCAAGAACACTGACAAAAGCATTCGCCAGGAGGTAGCCGAATTCATTGGAAGCATTACACTGGTAGACAGAGCTGGACCCTGACTGCACGTTGCTGAGAATCACAGTGTCGTCTTCCACCTTGCGGCTGGGGTCCTCAGGAGTGTCTAGCACATGGCAAGATGATCTCTACATCATCATTTTTAATTGAAAATGAGCTGGAACTGAGAATTCAGTCCCCAGCTAATCAAGTTTACTATTTTGTCTGCTTTAAATTAGAAGTGATCTAATTTTTCTTACTCTCTATGGGAATTCCATTGACAAACCAGTCTATCCTTGGTTTGGGTTCTCCATTGACTCGACAAGTCAACACGCCAGTTTCATTAGGGGCGAGGATCAGGTTCCTGGGAATGCTGACCCAGAAAGGAGCCGCTGGGGATAATGAACAAGACTGAAAATGCTCAGTGAAATTCTTGACAAGCTATCACTATAAATCTTTCTTTAGCTTTCAACGTAATATAGGAGAGAAGACACTGGTTGTTTCTATAAATGGAAGATTCAAATGTGTATTTATCTGCTTGCATTAGAATGCATTTATGAATAAAAATTGGGGTTCAGAATAAAATATGGTAATACTGTAAAACAAATTTAAGGGCATCAGTAACATGACTGAGCTGATCTGCCTACCTTTGACAGTGACCTTGATGGTATGGTGTACAGTGCCCAAGTTATTTGTGGCTACGCAGCGGAAGTTGCCAGCATCATTTTCATTCACATCAGAAATCTTCAGTGTTTTCTTGAAGTTCTGGTAGGACACTCTGTTGCTTGGTAGCTCTCCTCCTTCTTTCTGCCACGAGATATCTGGAGTCGGCCTATCACAGAAGAAAAGAGATTACAGCAAACAACTCTTCCAGTCAGTTAGTTTTTCTTCTCTTTCAGACACTGCGGCACTAATTTGAGTAAACATAAACCCTTAGAGTAGTTACTGCATATGCCAACTTACAAGCCCTCAGCGATGCATTCTAGCTCCAGAGTCTGCCCTCTCAGAACCATCTTGGTGCTGGTGGTGCCGAGAGGCAGCATAAAACCAGGACGACGCTCGCCCTCTGGGCTGCCTGAACAGGTCAGAGCACAAGACCATATCAGCAACAGACCAAAACATTATACTTTAACACTGCTTTTCTTATAAAACAGAGCAGAAACCTAAGGGATGATTTACATTTTCAAAGGGCAAAGGAAGAGGCAAATGTAGTGTTGATGAAAAACAAATTGTGGACAGGAGAGATGGTTCAGTAGAATGTAAAAGAAAGTCTTTACTTACAGCATAAAGACAATACCAGAGCAAAGGGGATGTCTTTGAAAGACCTGAGCATTTGTTTAAATAAACAACCCATGCATATAAATGCACAGCTGGACTGACTCCAGCCTTGGTCAAGAGAACAGTGCCAGCATGTTTTGATACAGGGTTCAAATACCAAAGGACCAGAATTTGCAGGAAAGGTCAGAAAATGGCAAATTATCCATATCAAGTTTCACAAGGTGGAGACGAACAATGTTACATAAAAAATTATGTTAACATAATAATGTTCTTTAATTTGTGACTATAGATAATTACTTAAAGGCCACAAACTGTCAGTAACAATTAATTGATAGAGTTGCATTTTACCTCGTATCACACTTTGTATCTTGTTTGTACTGATTAACGTTTAATTTGAATGAAGTAGGAGAAACCTGAGGAAGGGCAAGTGTTACTTACAGAGGAGGGGATTGAGGCCAAGTTAAAGGTGAGTGAGTGTGTAAGTCAGATATGGTTATGCAGGGCAGTAAAAACAGGGCCGGGTTCACACTGAAGGGGGCTGAATGGGTATAAACCAGCACTCACCACTATAGAAATCAGTGATATTGTATAAAGCAGCCAGAGTCTCATTCATAGTTTCCACTGTAATATAACAGAGAATCATAAGCATGCAAAACTAGGAAATGCAATGCATTTCCTAGTTTACATTGTAAAGCAAAGTATGTGTGTCACCCAAAGCCATAATTGAAAAAAACAACAACAACAAATAAATAAAATAAAAATAATTACACAATTATTATTAGTGAGACTGAGATAAGGACATTATAAAATCAAAGCCCTTACAGAGCTCAGGGGAGACAAACTTAAACTAACATTTATCTACAACAGTTTTGCAAGAGTGAAGTAAGGAAGTTGTAAAGTAAAAGGGTGTCTGACAAAGGAGAAAATACTAATATTCAGTTTACAATAAAAACTGAAAGTTTTCAAATGTGAAATGCTGGAAATGACTTGTGCAAGCTTAGACCAGACCTTTTTAGCTCCATAGTTATTTATAGCTGCACAGCTTCATAGTTTAGGATTCCATTTGAGATGCTTTGCATGGTTTTAAAAACCCTTCAGTTCCTCTTCTATTTGAAACAAGTCGTTTTAGTTCCTTCCTATTAAAAAGCCTACGTTTTTCTGATTGGATGCCCCTAATCTGGCTTCCACAAACAGAAAGTGTTTGTAAACTTTGCCTTTTCATGTGAGATGACCATATAAGGAAATCTATGCTGAGCTGACTTAAGCTTGGCTCAGTAGAAAATATTGTGAGAAATTCAGAAAAAGGTACTTTTTTAATTTAAGTAATTGAGTTTTTGGCTTCTTTAAGGAGAAATCCATTGCTTATTTAAACCAGTTTTGACTTACTGTCCAGGACAGTGACTGAAATCGGCTGTTTCTGCTGGATGGTTTGTGTATGAGGAAAGCGAGCGTAACAAATGTAGTCACTCCTGGTGTCTTCTGGGAGAACATTGGAAAAGTACAAGTCTCCATTCAGGGCCTGGGACACTCGTTTATCCAGTGGTAGCTTCTGAAAGTCTGGGAGGGTGAGAGACAAGCAACTTAACAATGCAAAAAGCTTCCATTAGCTCACAAGATTGTTTTATCAACTACATTCAGAAATGAGATGGGTCAGAAAGGATTGACCCAATCTTTTGTTGGTGAAGGTGAAATTCTTTAGTCATTGCACCTTATATGTCTGCAAATATGTACACACGACTCACTATTATCCATCCAGAAGATGACAGGAGGGGGCAGCCCAGCAGGGGGTCGACATTGCAGCACAAGGGAGACCCCCTTCTGCACCATGATGGCCTCATTTCTCTCCTTTGACCATAAGGGGGACCCTGTGAGTCACAAACATCAACACCAAGAGGTTAATGCAGAGTGGATAATATTTATTTGTACTCAACTAGTCGTCACTTTTAAAGCCCAAGCTTTTAGAGCTTATGCATTTAAATACAAAGAGAAGACTTACTGGACTGCCTGATGACAATGCTGTCAGATATGGCAGTGCCATGCTCATTGTTAGCTATGCATTGGTAAGTTCCCTCATAAGCTTCAGCCCTTTCGCTGCTGATATCAATGACCAGAGTTCCTGAACCGGGCTTCATTAAAACTTTGGAGTCTTTCTCCACATCAAAGTGAGTCCCATTTCTTGTCCAGGAGAAGCTAGAACCAAGAAGTATAGAGCCATGAAGGAAACACATGGAGCAGAAGAAGATGTTATGGCACATTTATTCATGTGTCAGGCAAATTTGAATTACTAATTTGACACTAAATCATTCATTAGGCATCGCAGGGACTCTCTCACCTGGGATGAGGCTTCCCCTTGGCTTCACAGTGGATGACAATGTTCTCGCGTGGATCAAAGATGTAATCCTTTGGGGACTGTAATATTATAGTAGGGGGCTGTGGCACTGAAGAAACCCCAAAAGAAGCGTAGTTTAGATACACAGCACAACAAAACCCGAATGTGCTGAATAATGCTGAATGTGTTCAAACAGAGGATGTACAAGCAGCATGCAACAAGCAGCGACAATCAAGACATTTATAGATGAAACACTCCATGCAGCTTACCATCACATCTACAAAGCACCACTTTTTACAGTGTTGAAATAAGTGCATGCACATCATTCGCCAAAATATTAAAAAACTCCACACCAGAAACCACACCAGTGTTTGGGGAAACTTACATCCTTCCAGTACTTTAGCTTTTTGTCCACCATGACATGCCACACCACAGTAATAGAATATTGAGGAAAGGTGTTAGTTTTTGCAAGGACTAAACAACAGGTTCAGGTGAAATAGATTCAGGTACTTTTAAGCATTTGACTGAGCCTGCACACTTTTTGAGGGGAGGGTGTTTAGAAAGGCAGGTGCAATAAATGCTAGAAAAGTAGATGAAGACGTTCAACGGTTCAAACAGATTGTGTGATATCAAGATAAACAGAAATCCTTAAAATCTCATTGCAAAACACCATGCTGAAACATGCAAAGTTGAAATAGAATAGATAGAATAGAAATAGATTATTGCTACATTTTCATGAGGTAAAATATCTTCACTTTATCCCACAATATGAAAGTATTTCGCTGAAATTCCATTAGTTTGAAAAGAATTATACAAGCGTAACATCAAGTCTGACAATCACAGAGCATGTAAAGGCAACGCTTACGATCAAGAGGCACTTCAAGTGCTGAAGTCATGTGACTTAGGAGTGTCAGCAGCACAGCTCCGAAGACTGGCACCCACTTCCTATTCCTGTCCATGCTCAGGTGTGTCAGTGGCACGGTGCAAACCTTTTCCCCTAGGTCCAACAGAGGTGAAGGTTGTAGACAGCGTGAAGAAGTCTGAATCTGCACTACACAGAGGAATAAAAAATACTAAGAAAAACTTACTGAGATTTGTCTCAGCAATTTTAATGGCATAAAAGATTTCAGAATCAAGTGCACACGCACTATCCTCAGATGTATACAAATATGGTTAAATAATGTGAGCATGACTCCATCCATTCAAATGAACTACAGGTAAATAGAGCTGAATATTTACTCTGTACTACAATGGAAAGTTTACTTTAGTTTTTCTGTGAGGTTATTTCCAAAGTTGGGTATCTAGAGTCATGCTTGGCAAGTGACTCATAGTCATGCATAGGCTATCATTCGTTCAATGTAAAGACACTGGCAGGAGAAGTCCAAACAAACCGGATTCCCATCCTTGCAACTTAAACAACTTTAGCAGTGTGCATGCATCTGTCCTTCTTCATTTTGTTTACTTTCTCTTCTGATGAAAATGCCAGCGAGATAGACTGGCCCGGCACAATGAGCTTCTGAGTGTAGGTGCTGTCAGAATTAATCATCTGGGTGCTATATTCCAAAAAGCAGACACAGACTAATATGCTTGGGCAGTTTGTGTTGACTTATTTGGCGCTAGCTGCAGTCACATCTTATTGACCTCCAGACAAAATAGCCACTCAAACATAGCATGTGCACTGCTGAGATGTCCCTCCTACCACGTGTGTGCCTGTAAACATATGGCATGTGAGTGCACTGGGCTGGAACGATCGCAGCTCTGCTGCAGATATAGCCTCACACAGATTGGCACATGCATGCAAATACATATCACATTAGAAGCACCATCGTTGCCAGTGTGTCATATATATCAAGTTACACATGAAACATGAGCCTCGGCTACTGTTGCGTAGTTCTAAACAAA